CTTGGTGATGAGGATCTCCAGGTCCGAGCCGCTGGTCAGCAAGTGCTCGGTGAAGTCCACGCCGGTCCGCATGTCGGCCAGCAGCTGCTCCAGCTGCGCCTTCTGCAGCTGCAGGGAGTTCTCCTTCTGGACCCGTATGTCTTCCAGCTGCTTCAGCAGCTTGTCCCGATGCTCCTCGATGGCCTTGATGTAGCCCTCCGAGAATGTTCGGACGTCGGCCGCCACGGCCTCCACTCGCTCCTGGAGGGCACTGTTTGTCTCTCTGATCCGGGCCAGGGCGTCTTCCAGGGCGCCCACGTGGGGCTGCGTGCCCCTGAGGAGCTCCCGCACTGAGTCCCCGTGCTTGTGGATAACATTGCTGGCGAAGTCATAGGGGTGCTCCCGATGCTCCCCCACCACGCAGTCCCGGCACACGGGCCGGTCACACAGCTCACAAAACAGCCTTAGCTCCTCCGCAGGGTGAGCAGGGCACAGGATGGCTTTTGCAATCCGGCTGTAGCCCTTCAAGTCCTTTAGGTCCACCATGGTATGGTGAATGGTCTTCTTCTGCCGCCTAGGGCAAGCAGAACAGGAAATTAGGGAACCATTGCAGTGGGGAAATGTCCAGTTGCTGGAGCATGGGCTCTGCAGTCACACGAACCTGGGTTCAGTTCCTGGCTCGAACCCCTTACTAACTACATGATCCTCTGATTCCAGTCCCTCACTTGTATAGTGGGAATGCCACCCACCTGGAAGGGCTGTTGGACAGAATAAGTGATAGTGGACTATGACTCCCTGGCTTAGTACATGACTTTGCAAAGGGTTGCAACACTGAGGCTACATCCTAGAACTTTCTCTTAAGAGTTAACTTGGCAAGTTTGGACAAGGGCCACAGCCAGCTAGAGCAGAGAGCAAGGCGAATATCCAGCACCAAGAGGCAAACTGACAGGTGGCCCAGCAAGTTAAGAGCAGCTAGCTGGCCCTGACAAAAAGTCTCCCACAGCAAAGATTTGGGTGGGGCGTTCCCTGTGACCAGTGCCTATATCACCCAAAACAGCAAGCTAGACTCTTCCTCAGTAAGTCATCGACATTATTAGAAAGAGTGAAATCAGTGGTCAGGACAATCAAAGCTCTTTTAATTCCTCTTTACTGTAGTCCTCTAGAGCTTCAGAGAAATCCCTAGGGAACAATGTGACTTACAGCAACCTGAAGTTTACATGCCTATTCTGGTACCAGAAGAGTGGCTACAGGGAAAACAGGGCCAGCTGTTTAGCTGGCAGCAAGGCAGTCACAATTACGACTTAAAAATAGACGAGACTACTAGCTTGTTCTGTTGGTGTGGTTGGAGAATATATGGAAGGTAGAACTTAAAAACAACTTTAGGCTAAAACCTTGGCCATTTTATATTCTGATGTCCTGGAATTGGGGAGAGGGTTGAGAAGGGACAAAGATTCATATGACAGACCTTTCGAAATGCCATAAAAGACAATCTGCACCTCAGTGAGCACCTATCAACCCACCTTACCAAGCTCCTGAGTAGTAACTAGAGTACAAGGCAAAGGCTGAAGTGGGGCCCTGCCAACCAGCACCTCACTCTGGGAAGGCAGCGTGGATAAGCAGAATGCAGAATACAGTTAGATCTGGGTGTAAAATTCAATTATACACTACTTCCCAGCTGTGGGACTTTGGCAAATCATATCATTGATCTTATATCCTCAAATAATTAGGGGTGAAAAGTGCCTGCTTTTCTATAAAAGGTGCAAGGACCAAATGAGACCGAGGCAAGGGCTATGCTGTTCTATTCACTCTGTTTCTCCAGCGCCCAGTCCAATTACTAACTACACGCGACTGACAAACCAAGGACACTGAATGTGCTTTGTAAACTGAAAAGGACTATGCAAACCTTTGGTACTGTTATTACTGTGGGAATTATATAAGGCTCCAGGAGTTTACTGTTCTAGAGTATTTGCTGTCATATCGTAGATTGCTCTTGGGCATTGCATGGCATTTGAGAAAGCGTTCTTTTCCATCTGCTCAACAAGGGATTTATCTGTCTCAACACCTCTTTGTACTCTGCTCATAATCCACACCAGGTGGGGTATCCCATCTTTACCTATGAGCCTGGCAGCAGAAGTGGCAGAGATTGGCTTTGCAGGTCTGACACCTCTTCTCCACTTCCCTGTCGCTGCACAGGTCACACACCAGGCCCTGGCCTTCCCCACGCAGACTCTCCAGCATCACATCATTCATGGCCAGGTGGTC